GGGTTTTTTTATAGGAAATTGTCGGCAACATTTTCTCATTACCAACAAAACGGTTGAGTAATTTGAGGAGTTGAGTGATTTTTTATAATTCAGACAAAAATGGTGGCTGATTCGGAGGAACTGGTGCCAGTCCCATATCCATTTAAACATAACGAAAAACGATCGATCCTGGCATTTGCGAATGACCAGAGTAATCGTGATGCTGCCGTGGAAGCTGGCGCCGAGATCGCACTTGGTCCCGATATGATCAAAAAGGTTGTTCATTTGAGGTGGATTTCAAAATTTTCTCCGAATTTACAAGAATTCCTTTTTTGAGATTTCCGGATTTGTTAAAAAAAAGTAAGAAAATTTGCTTAGTTTGTGTAGGTGCTAAGATTTGGATTTAAGTAATAACGATTTTGTTAACACTCGTCTCTGCTTACTATTAATGCAAGTAGTATAAAATTAATGTTTTTGCTCTCGAAAGCGCCCATGGTACCAATCTGTATCCAAATTACAACATGCGCTGGCGTGAGTTCTGTCTAGAACGACTTTTTGGTTCTGATCCGTTTCGTAGAAATCAGTTCCTCTGCCATATTGCTGCCCTGAAATTTCCTTGTAGTGTATACAAAACACCGAGAACTCGATACCCTCATTTCCTAAGCTGCCGTCAGAAGCACGAATAATAATAGTTCGGTCTGTGCGCTGTAGATATTGGTAAAATAATCAAGTTCTGTTATTGATGTGAGTTTGTTGGTAATCTTCTAGATCATCAAAGGGATGTTCCGGATCGATGATTATGATTTTTGTGTTGCACATACCGATATGGCATCAAGTATCTTGCCACTACGAGGGATTTTGAGATCACGCTTTCCAAATAAACTCAATGGTAAGCAGTTCTTTTTTCTTTTTTTTTTTTGAATATTTTCCCATGGACTTTTCGGTTGGTCCTAATTACTTCGAAATATTTAAGTACTACGAGACTTGACTTTGTAGTCGAACTACCATATCTTCCAGAGGTTTTTCTTCATTTATCACGAAAAGAGAAATTTAAGGCCGTAAGACAACAGTACCATTCTTTCGATTTTTCTTGCACTGATTTTGCGTGTAGCTTTAGCCAGAAAGCGTGAAAGCACTCCCACGGCGTGTTTGAAAACGATTTCGTGGAAAACAGTTACGTGCTGGACAGCC